TTGCTGGTAGGACCCTGTGGTTCCGAGGTGACCTAGAGGGATCATATGGCAAAGAGACACGATCTCTCTAGGTGACACATTACCTCGTTCATCTCTAGTAGGTTAATCACCTCCAGACACCCTTAACAGAAGACGGATGATTAAGTTTCAACAAGGGCTTTCTTGGAGGCACACAATGGTATTGTCTGAGCTTTGGTTCTGTGGACTGCCACACAGCTGTGGGTGGTGAAGGGAGGTGGCCTGGGTCTCAGTGCCAGGCTGACTGCTTAACACCTCTGTGGACCGAGCCAGGAGGCCAGTATTATCAAGGGCCTCGGTAGCCTCCCCCACGGAATGACGACAGTGAGACCTATGCCATTGAGATTTTGAAAGCCGCCGAAGATAACCAGCAGGAAGCACCTAGATGTATTGGTGTGCAGTGAAGTGTTCAGTTAGTGCCTGCTGTCTCAGCTTCCCTGAAGAGCAAAGTGATTGTGCTGTTATAGACCCTCTGCTCCAGCCAAGGGTTGTTGGGGACTATGTCTTCTGCCATCTGCATCTTGTTCTGCCTACATTTCTCCTAATCACACGTGACACTGAATGAAGCGATACAGACATGTTTATGATGGAGAAGGCCTCTCCCTACCTAACCCTCAGTCCCTGAGATCACTGCTGTTTCCGCCTCTTCTGTTTTCTCCATAACGCTTAACAGAAGCTAACCTTTGGCCTGATGGCAACTTAACATGGTATCTGTGGACTGTCTGGGGGGGGAAGATGAGATCTCTGTCACTCCATGTAATCAAATGCACCAACCCCAATAGCTGTTTTTAGAAGCATGGTTCAGTACTGTGACTATTCCGTAGAAGACCCTGAGATAGAAGGTGATGCGTCAAAGTGCCACCGTCTCCTGCTCCTGACACCAGCACCCTTGTGTTATTACAACAGTGTGGATTTGTTTGTTTGTTTTCATTTGTATTTTGTTCTATGATTTGCCCCTAATCATAGGGGCAAAACCAAATGCTGCTTGCACCTATGCAAACAGCATTCCCTGACCAAAGCCAGGATCCATCGCCTTCTCAGGAACAGCATGTGAAGGGCTTTTGATTTTAATATTATTAGTTGATTTTCCCCCTAAGTTTAGTTTTCAGAGTAATATATAGTTGATGTAGAAAATATAGTGATTCTATACATATGGTTTTCAAAAAAAAAAAAAAAGAAAGAAAGAAAGAGAATAGGTTAGAAAATATAAAAATACCAGAAAATTCTGTTATATGAAGCATTTGCTAAAAATATTTCATAGTTCAGATCAAAGAGAACCTATTTCTATCATTAATAGAGAGAAAGTTCCAGGCCTACATAGGAAGACCAAACTCAGAGAGATTCTAATATGTCTCAAACTTCTCGAATGCTTGCACACCTAACTTTAAAAAAAAAAAAAATTAAAGACAGGGTCTCCTGTAGTCTGGATTGGCCTCAGAATAGCCACGTAGCCTAGGATGACCTTCAAGTCTTGATGCTCCTGCCTCCACGTCCCAAGCACTAGGATACTAGGCCACCATCTGCCACCTAAGCTATGTCCCCGCCCCTGAGCCTTCAGCTTTTATTCTGATTCTGTGTAACTATTGATCACTTGCTGTGTCCCCAGCTCCGTGCTTGTGTAGCGAAAAATACAGTACGATATATAAAGGAAGGCTGTCTCAACTTTATCGAGGTTGGAGTCCAGCGAGAGGGAGGTATTCCTTAGTCAGGGGGAATAGAAAATACAGACTGAGCTCAAATTCTGAAAAGAAAAGAACGTGATTCTTAAAGGATACTTAACAGTGGCATGTGTGGGGTCGGGTCAACGGTAGAGGGTCTCCCAAAAGTGTCTTTCAGGGAGAGGTGTTGAAATTGAGAGCTGAAGAAAGGAAACTCAGTTCAGGAGAGAGGTGGGTTCAGGAACGCGCAGGAGAAGAAAGCAAAGCTTCAGGGCTAGGCGCACACATGACCCCAGAGCCAGGGACAAGTGTTAAGGACCACTGGAGGGTGGGCTTCGTGGGCCAGGAAAGGACCTTGTCCAGTGGGGAACAGCCAGGTGGGCTTTTGACAGATGCTTTGAGCTACTAATCAGAGGAGAGCAAAGTCAGCCATCAGCCCAGGCTGCACAATGGAAGCTTGTTCTGTCCTTCACACAGGCCTTTGTCTGAGCCCACTGGCTGCTTCTATCTGTGGCAATGATCTCAGCTACTGAACAGCAAACAGCTACCTCCCACGCAAGGTGTGCAGCCACCTTATTATGCAACTAGACATTTAGCTCCTCCTCTGGGACCTTCCTGCTCCTAGCAAATGGCTATCTAGTCTCCACTTGTCTTCTCACCTCCCTAGCCAAACAGTACAGCAAAGGAGAAAGCGTTCAAGAAGGATGGCCACTTCCAAGATATCCTAGTCCTCTAGTTTGCAAGCTCTGGGAAGAGAGGGCTTCAAGTGAGGTCCTGCATTATTCTTTTAGAGCCTTCTTTTCCCTCCTATGAACTCTCAGGTGGCTCATAAGAGGGCCACATAAACGAAGGAGAACTTGAGGGTTCAGGCAGTGGACAGCCTTCTTGCAACATGCCCAAGCACAAAGGAACTTTGTGTAAAAAAGACAAGGCTGTGTGACTGTGTGATGACGGGGTGATATGTATTTGCAATAACTTAAACAGCTCCTCTCTACACTGAGAATGAAATCTACACTAAACCATGCCATTAAGGCCACACAGAAAGTCATTGCTCCCCACCTTTTAGGACCTCATGCAGTGTGTACAATGATTCTCTCTGTGGCTCTACTTTGGCTTATTGGCCGCCACGGCCTTTGCACTGGAATGCCCTTGCCTGAATCTGCGTGGCTAGCTTCCCCCCCCCCCCATGCCCATCCTGTGTTCAGCTTTTATCCTCCCTAAGGATTTTTCTTAGTGACCCAAATTAACTCTTGCCTGCTTCTCAGTCCCTCTCGTGAGCGATCACTATCTGAACTTTTCTTTGCGCTTGTAAATCTTTACAGAAATTTAGGTGGCATGAGAGCAAAGATGTTGTCTAACTGGTTCAACATCATACCTACCTAGCCTGGTGTTTTATAAATATCTGTTGGGTGAATGGTTAGATGGATAGCAGTCTCCTCATGCTTAGATGACTCTCCTGTGGGCAAATGGCTCCATCTATTCATGTGTCGTAACAAACATTTACCCACTTGAGTGATTCTTGATAAATTATCTTACAGAAGGCATTTAATCATAAGTTATTGCTGGGACTAAGATAATAACAGATACCTTATCACAGCGCTGAAGGGGTAATATTGTTATAGTAGCCAATACGGAAAGAGCCGAGAGAGACATGGATCAAAGAACATAGGTTAACTGTAGGGGCTGTTTGAGAGGCAAAGACGACGAGATTCATGTGTCATGCTGTGAGCAAGGGACAAGCAGAGGACAAGGGGCCATGGTCGGCCTTAGAGGTGTAGTCAGGAGAATAGCCCCGTGAGGACGCCAGCAAGAAGTCAAGTATCTATGCATCTCAGTCGGGCTTGGTAAATTGAAGGCACTGAGTGTTATTGAGTAATGAGAGCAGGCGAGATGAATCAGTGAACAGAGAGAAACTCAACATCCAAGCAATAATCAAAAGTGTGACCTGCTGGAAGGGGGACATGGGAGGCATGTGGAGTGGTCTACAATTCTCAGGAAAATAGTTCAAGATTCCCCTCTCCCTGCTGCTCTTCCATCCATATCTGGGGTGGAGGAAGCCCAACAGCCCCTACAGTCTTAAGTTTTCTCTGAACCTTGTATCTCCTAAGAGTTAAGTTTGAATGCATCCTGGATCCCATCTCATGTGGTACCCACAACTGAAAGGAAAGGGGGACACATGGATGAGGGGCCCATCTCTAGCCACTTTCCCTGCAGTGTCCGGAAATCAGCAAGCAGAAGCTGCTCATTAATTAGGTCTATTAACCATGTCAGCCCTAGCCAACTTTGCCCTCTCATCACTGTGGTATATAGGTGTCCTTTTATTTGTAAGTGTGCTTTTTCTTTTTTTTTTTTTTTTCTTTTTTTGGAGGGGCCAGGGGAGGTTTATGAGGCAGGGTTTCTCTGTGTAGCCTTGGCTGTCCTGGACTCGATTTGTAGACCAGGCTGGCCTCAAACTCACAGAGATCCACCTGCCTCTGCCTCCCTGAGTGACACAGTATCAGCTGTGGATTAAGGGTATGCTTTTATGTGTAACTTGTCTCCATCAAAACCTGTCTGACTTAGGTTCTAGTTTCTCTCCTCTCTCTAGTTGGTGTATAATGTGATGAAAAGTTATCCAGGGACACAGACCTTTGTCCAGAGTCACACACACACACACTGGCAATATCTCAGATGCTGTTCCTCAAGAGCAGTTCACTTTATTTTTGGAATATGGCAGCCCACATAGTGGACTGGGCTATCTATGCAGCGAGTCCCAGGGATCCGCCTGTGTCTCTCACCAATGATGGGATTATATGCACAAACAGCCACACTTGGCTTTTGACATATGTTCTGGGGCTCAAACTCAGGCCAAACACTTCACCAACTGAAACAACTGCCCCATCCCACCCCCAACTGTGTCCTTTCTCACTTCTTTAATCCTATAGGCCTAATCGCCAGCCAGCCAGAATCCGGTAGCCTTCAGCTTTGTCTGGTCCCTCTGTCATTCATTTGGTCTCGATTCTTCGAAAAGTCTGTACGAGGTGATGGTAAAAATGTGTTGTGCTCTTGTGAGCTGGGAGTGGGCTGTGAAGCTATGGATTCTCTTGGTCCTCACAACAGCCCATTGAACCAGATTCTGATTTTATCCTCATTGTGATGATAAATAGACCAATGAAGCCAATAAGTTAGGTTTAGGAACTGACTGGTAGGGTTACACTGCCAATAAGAATACCCAGAGCTTGAACACTGGGCCCAGAAGAACTGGGGGTCACAATTTTAGAAAGGAACTATTTTTAATTTAATGTGAAAATTGCCTTCTCTTCCTCTCCTCCCCCATCTCTGCAGTCTCAGGAGGAAGTCTGTGATCTGCTTCATGCTGCACCCTTCCAAAACATCCTGCCCCGGGTCTACATTAAAGGTAAGAAACCACCGGCAGCCGTGATGGCCCTCTTGCATTTGAATTAATATTCGCTTTAAAAAATGTACTGTTATAAATATATAGGTAAGTATATTGGCATGTGGCGGTCAGAAGACAACCTCCAGTGTCATCTTCACCTCTCAGTTTGTCTGAAACACGGCCTCTTTTTTGTTTGACGCTGTGTCAGGCTAGTTGACCTACAGACTCCTAGGAAATCTCCTATCTCCACCTCCCATCTGTTTGCCATAGAGTGCCAGAATTACAGAGGCCTCTGGAGATTCAAACTCAGGTCTACTCACTTCCTAATCCCAGTCAACTCAGACTGCAGTCATCTAAGGAGGAGCAAGAAGGAGCACTATGTTTTGGGTGCTGTGAAATCATTAAGTGATTGGAAATGGCACTCTTGAGCCTTGCTCCTTCAAGGCTAGACATACTGTGTCACTCAAGTCTAGCCTCGGTTTCAACTCACTGAGTGACACAGAATTCACCATTCCAACTATACAGATGCTTCTGTTATTGACCAAAGCTCAAAGGGAGATAATCCCTCATGATGAATTCTCACCAAAAGTCTGCAGAGCCAAGGAGACGGTTCTACATGTTCTATCCAAGTTTGGGGACACAGTGACAGCATCAAGCCCTCCCATGATCACACACTCACTCTGTTCCTTTGCCCCTTCTGCAGAGGGGGAGCGCCTGGAAGTCCGGATGAAGCGCCTGGAAGCCAAGTACGCCCCACTTCACCTGGTTCCCCTGATAGAGCGGCTGGGGACACCTCAGGTACAAATCCTGTATTATGGGCCCAAAGGATCCCAAGAATGGAGATCCAGCCTCCTCATTTTACACACAGGGAAACAAAGGCACGTAGGGTGTGCCCAATACCATAAAGCTGGAGCAGGCCGGGATGAGGTTTGTTTCCTCTTGGCCCTGACTTCTTTCTTCTCCGCCCAGCAGAGTGAGTTCTGCTAAGAAAGAGGAAAGGAAGTCTATTTGAAACAGTATCATACCCCTGCCAGGTACCAGGAATTCTGCAACACTGCCTATCAAAATTAAAACCCCACATACTGTGAGTCCACACTTCACATCAGGGTATCTTTCTCAAGAAGCTCAAGATCAAGAGAAGCTGTGCCCACATGGTTTGCCCGTGAGGTGTTAGGCCTGGCAGTGTGAGGCATTCTGTGTAGGCATTCTGTGCTGATAGGTTTGACAATGTTAAGTACATAATAATAGAAAGGAAAAAAAATTACATCTAAGTGCTTTAGTCAACGTGTCTAGATCTTAAATTCAAAGTTACATTTCATATAGGGTTTTCAAAAACATCCACATTCCAAAAGTGTGAAAGTAAAACGTCCTCTGGAATCTCTGGAATGTTCCAAACCCAGTGGCCTTAGTTAGGGTTTCTGTTGCTGTGACAAAACACCATTTCAGAAGCAAGTTGGGGAGGAAAGATTTATTTGGCTTGTACTCCCATATCCTTCTTCATCACTAAGAGCAAGTCAGGGCAGGAACCTGGAGGCTGGAGCTGATACAAAGGCCATGGAGGGGCGCTGCTTACTGGCTTGCTCTTAATGGCTTGTTCAGCCTGCTTTCTTACAGAACCCAGAACCACCAGCCCAGGGGTGGAGAAGATGTGCTCCATAATGGGTTGGGCCCTCCCCTCTCAATCACTAATTAAGAAAATGCCCTACAGCCGTGCATACAACTCAGTCTTAATGCAGCTTCTGAACCGAGGTTCCCTCCTGTCTTAAATGACTTTAGCTTGTGTCAAGTTGACATAAACTAGCCAGCACACCTCTGAAAGCAAGATGGAGTAAGACACGGGGAGGATGAAGACTCAAACATGATTTGAGTTTTATCTGTAATGTTCTCATAACTTCAAAGTTGCCTGGGGTCACGTTGAGCCTGTAGAAAATAACTTTTAAAAAATGGTGCCAGTTACTACAGACACTGAATTGGGTAAGGAAGGGTGCCTGCCTTCAGAGCACTCACGGACTCTGTAGGGAGGCAGGACAGAAGAGAAATAGGGGGAGAGGCACCAAAATGTCTGTTTCTGTTCAAGTTGATTTAAGTGAGCCTCCTATTTGGAGGCAGGAAGGAGATCAAGAGTCACAGGACACTGTGTGGGGGACCCAGTTGCTCTGTATTGCTGGCCACACTGACTATTACCAAGTTTCGAGATTTAAAGCCACCCCTGGGCTCATCACCATGGTCAGAAGAACCCACAACCTCAGCAGAGGGCAAGAGGTAGCCACTCTCCATAAGGCCACGCCCCATCTGCGCTGGTGTCAGACTGAGAAGCTGCCCACATCAGGTTCTCACTGTAAGCAGTGACTAACCAGAGGAGGCTGCTGGGTCTTTGGCTCACAGCGGGGGTGCTGGAACACTGTGGAGAGTCTTCCTACTCTTTTGGCAGCAGAGGTTGAATGGAGGAAATCCTCCTAAGATTTCCTTTTAGGGAGAAATCCCCCAAGCCAGTGGCGTGCCTGCCACTGCTCTCCGGGTGTCATCCTGCAAGAATCCAGCTCTGTGAGCCTGAGGGGCTTGGTAGTGTTTCCACTCATGGCAGTGCATTCCCTCCCCGTTCGAGCGAGCACCATTTCCTTGCGACTGATAGACATCTCGGTTTATCCAATGCTGAGCATTAAAGCATAGCCGAGTTAGAGAGAGGATTTGCCAGTTTGACAGGTCAACTGCTTCTCAAAGAGTAGTCTAACATTATGTTCAGGTCAACCTGAAAGTAGAACCAGAGATTACCAGGGAGTGGGAAAGAGGGATGAAGAAAAGATTGTAGGGTAAGACTGAGGTACACTGTTTCCCATTAATGTGTGTAGGTAGTGAGAAAGAGGACTAAATTAAAAAATAAGACTTGGGGCCAGTAAGATGGCTCAGTAGGTAAAGGCACTTGCTACCGAGCTTACCAGGCTGAGTCTGAGCCCCAGACTCAGATGCTAGGGAGGAATGTCCTCTGAGCTCTACATGTGTGCCAGATGCACATTTGTGCACACGGACTAAATGCATATATACACAAATAGTAACAAACACAATTTCATCAACCCATAGGCCAAAAAAATAAGCTAACAAATTGTGAACCCTGAAGCTGGCCAGCTAGGTCTTCCCTGCTGGATCTTGTTTGGTATCCGGGTCAGTGAAAGAGGAAACTGTTGAGGCCGCTTTAAAGCAGGGAGGCCTGAGCAGTATAGCGTTTGCGTTTGTTTCTGAACAAACTGAGCTGATCTTTGCTGACGGTCCACTTGGTAAAAATCATTGTGTGCCTTGTTTTCTTTCCCAGGTAGTCATTATAGTTCTCCGGAGCCGTTTTCTGTCTGAGTTTACTTGCACTTTCAGGGCTCAACCTTTTGCTTATTACTCAGGAATCGGCAGGAAAGCCTCTCCTTTTTGATGTGTACAGAAAAGTTAGCAAATTTACGTGTGTGTGCACGCGCGCGCGCGCACACACACTCATGCATATAAAATGTGGTAGGGTCTGCATTTCTTGATTGCTAATGAATAAATTAAAATTCCAAAAGATGCGAAGGGCCATAGAAAAGAATTTTGAGAAGCTGCACATGTGGTCAGGTATTTCATGTAATCAGAGTTCTCCGTGAGAAGAGAGGGAGCTTGGGAAAGACCCCCACTGTGTAGAACAGAAAATAGATAAGATCTTTTAAGCGCCATCCTTTCTACATTAGAACAAGCCACAAGCTGGCCACATTTGCATCAAGCACTAGATGGCCTTTTTTTTTTTCCCCGTGGAAGCATGAAGACCTATGTTCAGATCCCCAACACCCCTGTAAAAGCCAGGGGTGGTGACACACCTATCACCCCAGCAATAGAGGAGGGGACAGGCAGATCTCAGGGCCTTGCTGGCAGCCGGTCTAGCCAATACAGGGAGCTCCAAGTTCAGTGATAGATCCTGTCTCAAAAAATAGGCAAAGAGATCAGATAAAGGTACCCAAAGCTGACCTCTGACCTCCACATGCATTCACACAGGCAAGGCATACCTGCACAGGTGCGTGTATGCGCACACAAAATGATATACCGAAAAAGGCAAAAACAAGACTCACATTTAAAAAAGATGGCGACAAACAGAAAAAGTTCAATATTGCTAGCAATCTGTGAGGTGTGAACCCCAAGGTCAAGGCAGTTTCTCATCTCCATTTGGTAAAGACATTTTTCTTCAGAGCACGTTGACTGGTGAGAGTGTGGGAGAAATGCTCATCACCTGGGAAGATATCTGGTCAGCATCCTTGAAGCTCATTCACTATTGTGTAGCAAAACACTTTGGATTTTGTTTTGTTTTGTTGGGTTTTTGAGACAGAGTTTCTCTGTGTAGCCTTGGCTGTCCTGGAACTCCATCCTGTAGACCAGGCTATCCTCAAACTCACAGAGATCCACCTGCCTCTGCCTCCAAAGTGCTGGGATTAAAGGTGTGAGCCACCACCATCCAGCTAGCAGAACCTTTTAAAGTATTTACATTCTCTCACAACCATTAAGACTAGAGATTTACCCAACAACAGGACAGGAGTCAATGCTCACCAAATGCCGTGTCCACAGGCAATTGCTTTAGAATTGTCCCCAACATTGAAGATCCATGAACAATTTAAAATAACCAGCAAGGGTAGAGAACTAAATACATCTTGTCGGAGGCTGTTTTTGGATAGCAATCTAAAAACCACGCCACTGAATGTATTATGGAAATGAGTTTTTAAAAAGTGAGAAACATAATATAGATTGTCTATAGACATACATGTGTACATATTCATAATCTTTATATATCTGTATTTTAAGAAATCTCATCTCTGGGTAATGGGATAAATGGAGCAGTGTCTTTCTTATATGTTTGTTAAGTTTTTTCCCCCAGATTTTACCCAGGGAATGCTTACTGCTTTTGTGGTTCACAGAAAGAAATAGAAGAGTGAACACTTCAGAGAAAGAGTTGAGGCTGCTTTCATTGGCTAGTAAATGGGGAGCTGCAAGTCAAACCACAGGTTTTATTAAAAGTCATTTGCCAGTGTTTCTACTCACCCACCCCCAAACCAGGATTCTCAGATGCTGCCTGAATCAGAATAATCAGACAACAGACTAATTAGAATACTAGAAGTCCCTCATGTCTGAGGAGAACAGACATGGGCCTTTTATTTACTGAGCATCTCCAGGTACCATGTTCTTCACATGTGGAGAGCTGAGCAGAACAGAGTAACCACAAATGAGGAGAATCACAGGCCGAGCCTATGATGTCCTAAGTGCTTTTTCTAGATGCCTGTGGCAGCTTGAGTGCTCTCCTGTGTTGTGAACTGTGTCTGCCTGTGGAATCGAGTTGATTCTGCATGAATCAGAGTGCACTCTGTTTCAAACACATATCCACCAGGTCTTTTCCGACTCATTTTCTTTTTAAGCTTTTTCACTTTGTAGTTGTCATGACAACTACACTCAACTCATGACCCATGTTCATCACAGGTTCTACTTCCTGATTTATTTCCTTCCCTGGATTTACTTAGAGGCCTCCCTCTTTTGTCGGGGGATGGGAAAGTCTCCAAGGGAGAGAGCTTTGAGGGGGAGGGCAGGTGGTCCCTTCCAGCCCCCTGTGGAAGGGCCCTCCCCCCCAGAACCCTTCCTCCCACAGGGAGCTGATCTCATGTGTGTCCTGTGGGTCTGGCTGTCTCAGAAGCCAGCTTTCTTTAGCTTTGTTCCCAGACGAAAAGACCTGACTCTGACCTTAGATTTTAATATGTGCCTTGCAGATGGCTTTCAGCGCCTTTGCTCTTAGATGTTTTCAACCCAGCACAGACAGTTGTGAGACGCGGTCATGTGTTTGATGTGCCTGTCTGCCTGTCTGCCTGTCTGATTGCTCGACGCGCAGTAGCCAGGACCAGATGAGAAGCTTGTTTGAATTACTAGTCGAGGCCATGCGCCGTTGTCAAAGACGGGTTTTCAGCTAGAGAAAATAATTCTCTGAAGGCAGTGGCAAATTTTAAAACAGTGACATACGTTTTTTCTAGCACATTCCATGGTACAAAACTATTTTAAAAGTGAAAAGCTTACCCATTTCCCCCAGCCCATCTGTACCCACAACTATCTTGACTCCTAAATGTTTCTACATGCACCCACACTCACAAGCACACGTATATGATGTTCATCTTGTGGCGTTGTACTGGTGTTTGAGAGGATTCGCCATCTTACTCAACTCGTTTCATAATTTCACTTGTAGAGCTAAGCTTCGTTGAGCAGAATCCAAGTTTTATGCCTTCCTGGGCTGCACCTCTAAGCCTCGGCTTCCTCATCTGTGAAATAGAAATAATGATGTACCCATAGAATCGGACAGAGTCACCACTCGTTGTGAGCCTGGTGTGCCACATACTCTAGTTGTGTTACATTGTAGAACTGACAGGACCACTTCCGCTTCTGTGTACCTAATTAGCCATCCTGGCCTCTCTGGTGCCTCAATTGCAGGCACATATGCCATGCCTGGATTATTAATATGGGCTCTGGAGGACAGAACTTAGGGCCTTGTACTTGCACTGAGCCATCTATCTCCTCAGTCCTAACCAGACTTTGAGTCCAGTATGTGGTCAGATAATTTTTTTTATGATCACTCTTCTATTGATGGCGCCTGGATTTTATTTGCCATGAGTGACAGTTACCATAAGGCTTCCGTGCCCTCAAGTTCTTATCCTTAGTGCCCTGTTCTGGGCAGTCCTCCTAGCGAGCAAGTTCTAGATGTGGCCAGCACGGGTGGAAGTGGGGCAGGCGGGATCTCAGATGCGGATGCAATGCTTATGTGCCCTTCCCATCCCAGCAAATCGCCATCGCCCGGGAAGGTGACCTGCTGACTAAGGAACGACTCTGCTGTGGCCTGTCCATGTTCGAGGTCATCCTCACCCGAATTAGGAGCTACCTGCAGGACCCCATCTGGAGGGGTCCGCCGCCCACCAATGGCGTCATGCACGTGGATGAGTGTGTTGAGTTCCACCGGCTGTGGAGCGCCATGCAGTTTGTCTACTGCATCCCTGTGGGGACCAACGAGTTCACAGCTGAGTGAGTGCATCCTCTCCCCTTCCCTCAGCACTGGGATGCCTGGGACCAGCCAGAAAAGGGAACAGGGGTTGAAGCGGTACAACAGTGATTCTAAGCATATCAGTGCCAGTGCTGGTGCTAGGCATGGCAACGGTGGACTGTTCTTGGCCTCCCGAGGTTAAAGGGTCCACCCAGATTATAGAAGCACATATGTCAAGGTGTCGCCTGGGCCTGGTTAGAATCAAGGGTAGGGTACAGACAGCAGAGAATGGAGCCTGGGTTGAGTTGTCAGATCTGAACTCTCAGACTAGAACTGATCCTGTGACGGTATCTGGGATGCGGGTCTGTGAAGGGGAGTGGATGGTCCGGGAAAATCAGTAAAGGGCTGTCCGCAGAATCGGGGCTCAATAAAGAAAGGCAAGAAAGATCCTGATGAGTATCAGCCTTCTGGCCCCTCACCATTTCTCACCCCTGCAAAAACTCTACTCTTGGGAAATGAGGAGCTTTTCGGATCACTCAGTCCTGACACCAGAGACAAGAGGCACAGAGTCTCCTTCTTGCACCCATCTAGCTTCATGCTGAGGGGGCCGTGGCAGAGGTGACTAGCCGGTCCTTTTGGGACTAAAAGCAGGGAAGGAACGGGTGGGGAGGGGCTGATCAGGGACCCCTGCGGAAGTTAGTGCTGGGATGGGAAGAGAAAGGCCACAGCTGTGAGGGCTGTGTCCTTCCAGCCCGGTGAGAGCGGAGCAGGGAACCTGTTCAGGGCAAGCTGGTCTGCTACTTAAAGTAAGTGATATAGGATGGCCCTCTTGTCAGCCATGTGTCTCTTGGGAATTGAGAGCCCCAAGGACTCTCTGATATGAGTTGTACCTACCCGATCCCTGCTTGTCTGCTCTTAACCCCAGGCAGCCAACACAGCCTCCTGACTGGCCACGGGTGACTAGCCATGTGAGTCTCAAAGGCTGATTAGAGTTGAGATGGCTCATTGCAAGCCTTAAGGACCAGAAGCCAGGGGAAGAGCTGGAAAGACAGCTCAGTGGTTAGGAGCACTGTACTGCCATTGCAGAGGGCGCGAATTGAGATCGCAGTACCTGTGTTAGAGGGCTCACAGCAGCCCGCAAAGTCCAGCTCTGGAAGGACCCGTTAAGACAGGCCTTTGCTTCATGTGGGCACATCCATACACAGACACGTGATTAAAAATACACATTTCAAAAACGGCCAAGTGAAGCAATATGCACCTGTCATCCTGGTACTCCAGCGGCTGAGACAGGAGGATGCCTGGAAGCTCATTGACCAGCTGTTATCACTGCAACCACCCTCAGGGATGTCCTTGTACCTACTTTATAAAGGAAGGGTCATAACTGCCGGCAGGCCCGCTCAGGCGCTGTGCTGCGGGCTTTGGGGAGGACATTTCCCCTCTGCTTCTCACCTTTTCTTTCCCCCACACCAGGCAGTGCTTTGGTGATGGCTTGAACTGGGCTGGCTGCTCCATCATCGTCTTGCTGGGCCAGCAGCGACGTTTTGACCTGTTTGATTTCTGCTACCATCTGTTGAAGGTGCAGAGGCAGGACGGGAAGGATGAAATCATCAAGAACGTGGTAAGCAGATGTGGCCAGCCTGGGCAGCGGGGCCTGGCAACAGGCTACCTTCAGGAAGGAAGAGAGTTATATACTTAATGGAGGGTGAGGTCTGCACGCAGACACTCAGAATCGGGGACCTGCTTGGGGAAGGCCTGTCTGTAACATACTATGATAGATTGGGTAACCCTGAAAAGCAAGCCTGGCCTCAAATGTCCCTTCCCTGTCCCAAGCAGACCCTGTTGGTGCTGGCCACCATTGCCAAGCACACTAAACACTACAGGTTTGGCAGGTCCCAGGAGGGTATGGGTACTGTAAGAAAACAGAGCCCTTAAGCTAAACAGCAGTGATAGGGGAAAGGTCAGAGGTCTTCATAGGGGTGGGGATTGGGGAGGATAGCCTGAAATACAGGGGGACAGGTGGCCTGGATAGATGCCAGACACAGGGAGCAGCCACCCCACAGCAGGGAGGCACAGAGGTGAGTGTCTAGCACAGGGGTTCTCAACCTGTGTGGGTCACGACCCCTGAAGATGCATGATGTTTTTCACAGGGATTATATACCAGATATCCTGCACATCAGATATTTACATTATGATTCATAGCAGTAGCAAAACCACAGTTATGATGTAGCAACAAAATAGTTTTATGGTTGGGGGTCACCACAGCATAAGGAACAGTCTTAAAGGGTTGCAGCCTTAAGGGAGGTTGGTCTGGCTGGCCCAGCACAAAAAGAGATGGCCAGGGATCGGAAGAGAGGAAACAGAAGCCACCTCACAAAAAAAGGGTGTTAAGAGTTGTAGTTATTCTAAGTAACCGTTTCCTAGTATCCATTTCAGTGTTATTGAGACATCCTCACAGTGTCATACAACCTTTATCGTCATGCCCCCACATGTTTTCACTTTCTCCTGAAGCTCCGCGTCCATTTAAATAACTCCCCAGTTCCTGGCAGCCACCATTTTTCTTTCTGTCTCTATGAATCTATGGAATCTGTGTACCTGATATGTAAGGGGAGTAACAGTTCTGTTGACTTGTGACTGGCTTATTTCAAAAGGCTTATCCATGTTACAGTGTGTTAGAATCCCATTATTTTATAATTTTATAGTTAACTAGTATTTCATCTTATGCAAAAGCACAATCCATGGCCCCTTGCCTTGCCTTCACTGTGAGCGACTAGGAATAGTAACAGAACTATGAACTTAGGTATCCTAGGCAGCTGAGTCTCTCCTTTCAGGTTTGTTTGTTTTCTTTTTTAATATACACACAGAAGTCTAAATGCTGGGCCACTTAATAATTCTTTTCAGTTTCTTGAGGAACAGCCATACTGTTTTCCCTGATGGACTCACCATTAACACCAAAGAATAACATCCAAGAATATAAAGCTCCGTATATTATTGGGTCTTTGCACATTTTCTATAGAGAAGTGTCTTTAAGTCTTTTCTCCAAATTTTAATCACTGCTTAGTTTTTTCACATTTTTACTCCCTTTGTGTGCATGTCTATGTTTGGAGAAACATGCCAACCAAAGCAGAGGTCAGAGGTCAACTTACTGGAGTCAGTTCTCTCTTCCCAAAATGTGGGTCTGGGGATTGAACGGCAGACAAGCACTGTTTCCCATTGAGCCATCTTCCTGGCCCTGGATTATATAGCGCTTTATGCATTCAGAATAATAACTTCTTACCTATTTCACATATACTTCCTTCCTTTCATTCCATTGATGGTATCTTTTAACGTACAGAAACCTTCATTTCACTCTGCATTCGCTGGTGGTGACTCTGGTGTCATGGCCAAATCCAACATCATGAAGATGTACTCCTGAGCTTTCTTCTACGTATTTCAGAGCTCGACTCATGTTGGAGCCTTTTGTCCATTTCCAGCTTATTCTTGGATACAGTATGTAAACTAGGGTCTCACATTCCTCTGCATGTAGGTCGCCAGTCTTCGCAGCATTTGTTGGAAAGGTTGCCCCTGACATACACATGCTTCAGAAGGTCTTGTCATTCTGTTCAGAGCCTTTTGATCAACACATTTTGTATCTACCCTCGAGTTCTATCTCATTCTTCACAATGAGCCTGTGCTGTTTTGAATATGATAGGTTCACTGTAAACCTGGAAACTTGCAATGGTTATCAGTAACCTTCAGCATTGTATTCAGGAAGCATGGAACCCTTTAAAGACAAGAGAAGTATGACCACTGAAACATCAAGAACCTGGTCCCAGTCCCCTTCTCCACCTCTCCCTTTACTCCCCCTCTAACCTGAGCATCCTCATCCTTCTACAGCCCCTGAAGAAGATGGCTGACCGCATCAGGAAGTACCAGATCTTGAACAATGAGGTTTTTGCCATCCTGAACAAGTACATGAAGTCCGTGGAGACAGACAGCTCCACTGTGGAGCACGTGCGCTGTTTCCAGCCCCCGATCCACCAGTCGCTGGCTACCACCTGCTAGGCAGAAAGTCCTGCAGACCTTCAACCTGGAGGAGGAGGAGAAGCAGGAGAGAGAACACAGCAGTCAGCCTACTGCAGGTCCAGCTAACAGTGTATGGGACGGGCCTGGAAAGAAAAGAAAACTTCCCCGACACATCTGCACCACTCCCAAGGGCTGGGTTCCTGCATGTTCTCCCATGATATCTCCATGGTGGGTTTTCCATAGTGTAAACGAAAAACAACGAAAACACAGGACGGTGTGTGCTTTCTTCTTCTTTTGTTTCCTACCTTAACTGTATCTAAGAGCTACTGTTTCCATCCTGCAGCTGCCTACCCCATCTGTGATTGCTTCCCAAGACCACTCCCCAACATCCTTACCTCCTACCCAGTATCTGTGTTTGGTCCAGCACTGTAATCTTAAGAGAAGACTGTAGCCATAGCAGAGAAATGAGCCTGACCCAGTCATGTGCCTCAGCTTACTGGGCCCGTCTTCGGGGTTCCCCCTCCAGTTCCCTGATCACATTGCTTCATGTGCTAGATGTTAGGGATTCCACCATCAAGGTTTGACCCTTGGTGAACCAGGAAGAGGTTTTAATCTGTTAGGATAATAGATGATATTGACCAGGACCTTTTACAGTCTCCCGCAGGCCCACCCTAGTGCCTCCTTGCAGAACAGTCCTAGAAAGAAGAAAATAATGCTCTTGAAACCATATCCCACCGAGTGGAACAAGGTGAAGAAAAGGACCAGGCCTACCATGTGGAAGCAATATCTGTCAGCACGGGCCAAAACTCCAGCTCCCAAAGGAGAGATGTTAGACCTTAGGGGGGTGGGGGGAGATGAGGCACTCCTGTTCCACACACAGGTGCTTAGCACTGGACCACATGGAAATGGACGTGTTGGCCATGGCACTACACAGCATTAGGCAGAGACCAAACTGATGACTGCTTAACACAGGCCCTTATCCAGAAGAATATCCCCCACACACACACATAAAAAAAAGAAGACTTTACAGGCTTACTTCAACAGACGGCTAAGATATCTTGGAGACAGGGAGGCAAGGAGGAAAAATCTTTGTCAACCAGCTTTCAATCCTGAGCGTGGGCTTGGGCATGGGCATGGGCATGCATGCATGCACACACACACACACACACACACACCTTTGAGCAAACTGGAATTTTCATCATGTCAGCTGCTAAAAGATTCTTGAACCATTCAACTCTTTTGCTCTCAACTTCCTGGTCTCTTCCTTTTGCCCAGGCTCAGTGCTGGGGTGTAGATTCTCTCACAGGGGTGCATTGACTTCTGCATTCCACGCTAAATCAAACACGGCTGTAGAATCTCCATGTATAGCAGATCTTTAAGGAGGTGCCCATGGCTCTGTCCAGAGCTAGTCTTTCGACCTGCAGAGGGAAGCCATAGCCCTGAGCCCCCAAAACATAGGAAGGGGATGAGAGATACTCCTTTTCTAGCCTGGGAGTAAGAGAGAAAACGGAGAACTAACCATCCCGGCCCCCAGGAAGGTGACTGACATCTATCACCATTTTTAACCACACAGGGAACAGAGGAGATATGCATGTCCAGTGCCTTTGAGAGAGAGACGTGGCCACATACTCCAGTGTGGTCATGGAAATTATAACTCTTGAGGATCTTGAGAACTTGAGAAACTTGAGTATTCATTCCCGGACACCAAGTCTGAATCTCTGGGAATACGGCCAGAAGATCTGAATCTTTCCCGTTGCTATCCTGCATATCACAGACTCAGAGCCCAGCTGTCGATTGGACCCCTTCACTAGCTCTGGGCATTGAGGTCTCTCTGAGCAAGAATAGGAGCCATTTGTAGTTTAGGGATGTGGTTTGAAATGGAAGCTGGCCAGCCTTCCTGTCTGGCACTATTAATTCCTAGTCTGATTGTTTCTCTCCTTTGATGACCATAGATGTACCCCAGAGGCAGATTTCAAATCTTTGGCCCTGGTGGGGAATAGCACTTCATTTTACACTCTAGAGATTTGCGCCATTCGCTTGGTAAGACTGCCTTTCTGGCAACTCATCCCTCCCACCCTGCACTCCTGACCCCCAACAGTTGACCCTGTGGGAAGAGTCACATTCTCCTCAGGAGAGTTGATCCCAATAAATTGAGGTCCTCACTCCGAGGACAGAGATTTCATTTCTTCAGCACTTGCCTGTGGACACTGGACAACTTCAATGTTCTTTCCTCTCTAGCTCTCCTTGTCCCTACCCCCCTTTTTGATTTTTTTAATGTATTTAAAAATCAAGAAAAAAAAAGCTTAGATTTTAAAATGTTTTAAAAAGAATTCTGTTTCAGAAACTGTCAAATGTGTACCATATTTGTATTAAGAGTTGTTGGGGATTTTTGTACAATGAATTTACATTTATTTATGGTGAACTTCTATTTACGCTTGTGATCAGATAATGATGTTAAATTCTTAGATCATATTTGCTATGCAGCTGAAGAGGATATTTTGATTTGTATTTTGGGGGTACCTGTGTTGAGTTGATAAAACATTTTCATCTCCATTAAAACTGCTTCCAAACTAGACCAACTAGCCTCTTTGTCCTCATTTCTTGGTCACATTTCAGTCTATTGATCTATGGAAGCCACATTAAAACTAACATCTAGACAAACCACCTGAAATAAGGTGCAAGTAAAATTACAATATAGCATATATAGGTACCCTAAATTGATACATTATTTTGTTTTCTAACCGAAGGAATTATACATTTAAAAAAATAAAGCTGGTAGCCAGGCTGTGGTAGAGCATGTGTTTAATCTTAGCACTCAGGAGGCAGAGACAGGCAGATTTCTATGAGACCAAGCCCAGCCTGGTCTACAGAGCTAGTTCCAGGACAGCTAAGGTTATACAGAGAAACCCTGTCTTGAAAAACCAAAAATGGATGGATGGATGGATCTGATTTGGGGTCTGGGAGGTTACTCAGTGGTTAAAACATTTGCTGAGCCGTGAGTACTGGAGTTCAGATACCCAGGAAAACACATAAATGGTGGCTGGGGCAGCTTATCATCCATAATTCCAGCCTCAGAAGGCAGAGCAAAGGATCTCCAGAGCAAAGCAGTTAGTGAGTGTACCATGTTGCTGAGCTCTGGATTTGATTGAGAGACCCTCTCACTAAAGAAGGCTGAAGAGCCATCGGGTATGATTCCCGCCATCAACCCCCAGCCCACGAGACACACACTTTTACATGGGTGTGACCACAAACAATGCACACGTGTGTGTACATAGACACCACACACAAAAGCAGAAAAAGAAAAAAAAAATAACTGCTTTGAACTAGGCAAAGAGAGAGGAAGGTAAATCCTGCTCTTGGGAGCGAGTCAGACTCTGTAGCTGTAGTTTTGAGAGGAAAGAATGGAAACTAGCGTCTGATGAAGCTTCATGTAAGTAAGTACCATTCTAAGGCTAACCGTTCTTTTCAAGCATCTGACATCACTTAACCTTACGCACATTTTTACAGAAATTTCGAGAGACTGTATTTATTTTCACACAGATACCAAGTAGCAAAGCTGGAATTTTAAGAGAATTCCAAAGCCTGGGCTAATCCCCCAAACGAAATTTGGAAGTTTGGTCAGTAGGCTTTCAGGGGCTCCAGGGTTGTCAGATTGACCAGTGTCTGGTATCAGGAGGGAGCCCAGCACATGATTGCCAGGTCCCCAGGCTCAAGCAGGCCTAATGTCTGGAAAGTGATTGCTTTCATCAAGAATGCATTGATTACATAGCAATTAGGAGGATGCGTTTAAACCAGCCTCAAGGACTCAGAGCCTCACGTTTCACAAAGCACCAGATTTTCTAATGACCATCTACTTCAGCTGCATGCTAAAGCCATCAGTGATTGCCTTGCTGCTGTGACCGGGGCCAACCTTCAAGCTCTGAGTACCTTGGTTTCTGATCTATCTAAGCTCCCTTCCAGCCCTTGTTCTGGATGACTTCCCAACCCCGATTCTAGATGGCATCCCAACAGTATCCTCTGAGGGGCTTGGCTATGAAACACAAAACCCTTCTCTCAACTATGTCCAAAAATTGTCATTTTGGATTATGCCCGATATTTGAATTATGGATTCAAATTTGGATTATGCCACATATTTGAACTGGTGTGTTTCCAGCCTGGATATTTCTGAAGAGTTGCTTAGGAAGCCAGGTGCGGTTACACACACCTGTAATCCCAGCACTCAGGGAGGCAGAGGCAGGCTGATCTCTGTGAGTTTAAGGCCAGAGTGGTCTACAAAGCAAGTCCAGGACAGCCAAGGCTACACAGAGAAACCCTGTCTCAAAAAATATAAATAAATAAATAAATAAATAAATAAATAAATAAATAAATAAATAAATAAATAAATAAATAAAGCAAGCAAGCAAGCAAGCAAATAAAGTTGCTTAGAAGAGGGCTGTTTTCTCATGCTTTCAGGTACCAATACAAGGATGCAAGGTTACAGACTCTCAGGAAATCAATGCCACCCACAAAAGAAACTAGCAAAGCTCCCACAGTCGACCTAAAGAAAAGGGTCTGAAAATTCTCTTCAAGAAGGTCAGTGAGCTGCAGAAATATACAAACAAAAACATTAAAACAAATGTTGGGAAATACATGAAAAAATAGAAAGAGGCTGAAGAGAGAGGGAGGGAAGGAAGGAAGAAGAGAATGAATGAGAACATTCAATAAACAGTTGAGAAGAAGAAGGCAAGGACCTGCGTTCCCCTAATCTAAAGAGTGATACCAAGATACACAAGAAGCACAGAGATCCCAAAAGATAGTTCACCAAGGCCTAGAACATTCTAACTGTTATAAATCAAAGCCAGGAAGGAAGTAGGGACGTGGTTTGCTTAGTAAATGTTTGCCTCACAAGCATGAGGATTTTTTGTTCAGGTCTCAAGCACCCCTGTAAAAAGCCAGGCATGGCGGCATACATCTGTAATCCCTGTGCTGGGGAGGCAGGAACAAGAGGCCCTCTATAGCCTAAGAACTGGCTAATCAGGCCAGGCTCATTGAGACCTGTTTCAGAAACTAACATGGCCAAGCGCAGTGGTGCGCACTTTTAATCCCAGCACTCGGGAGGCAGAGGTAGGTAGGTAGGTCTCTGAGTTCAAGGCCAGCCTGACCTACAGAGTGAGTCCCAGAACAGCCAGGGCTATACAGAGAGAAACCCTGTCTCAAGCCAAATAAGAAGAAAACCAAGTTGGTGAACCATGACTAAGAAAGCTACCTGATACTGATGTCTGGCATCACATACACACATTCTCACTCTCTCATGCACACGCACACACACACACATACACGGAGGGAGGGAAGGAAGGAAGGAGAGAAAAAGGTCAAAGTCAAAGGAAAAAAGCTGTGAACAGAAAGAGATAAGAAAACACTACATAAAAAGTCAACAGTTTAATCAGCAACAGATTTTTCATCAGAAACTATGCAGGTCAGAGACAGAGGGATAATATCTTCAATGTGCTGAAGCAAAAACACAAGCCTACTAGCCATAAATATTTTATCAATTGAAATTATCTTTCTCAAATGAGAGAGAAGACAAATGCTTCTAAGCAGTCCATAGCTGGGGAGTTTATTTCCACACCAGGCTTACAGAAATTGATAAAGGCATTCTTTAAGCACAAACAGAAACCTGTTAACTCATGAAGTCCACAAAAGCCCAAACAGTGGCATGATTTACTCAGAGCTGTGTTCAAAATATTATGAAGTATAATGGGTGTATAAAGTCATTTGAGCCCTAGTCTGAGGCTTAAAAGAGGGGAAAATTAATAATGACTCAGCTAAAGTTATCAAGGGATATATATTACAGAGTGATAGGAATTCTGATATCAAAACCTACACTGTGGGAGTGGGGGATAAAAGTATACAGATGTCAGCAATCAACACTAGGCTGTTCTCATCCTGGAATAATTCTCGCAAAATTGGTAACCACAAGCAAAAAATCTGTACCAGAAACAGAAGAAAATCAAAAGAACTCAAAGCTACAAAACATGTCTAACCACAAAACAAAAATTACTAAAAGACTTACAGAAGAACCAGAAAACAGTTAACAAAATTTTCAGTAGGAAATACTTACCTTACAGTAATTTGTCTTGAATATTCATGGATTAAGTTCCCCAATAAAAAAAAAATGAATGAATGGAATCTTGTTTTGTTTTGGGTTTTTTGTTGTTGTTGTTTTGAGACAGCATCTCACTGTGTTCTCCTAGCTCGCAGAGATCTTCCTTGCCTCTGTAGAGCTGGTTTTCAAGGTAGACAAGCACCACCATTCCCTGCCCAAGCAAATGCATTTTTCAAGGCCCAAAGATGTATGCATACAAGAGACTCACTTTGCTCTTACAGACATATTAGACAGAAAGTGTGGAGAAATGTGCCACACAATTTGGAACGAAGGAGATCAAGGTAGCTTTCTATGGCAAAACACATACACTCTGTTCAAAGAGATGCCTATTGACTTTCCAATAAAGGAGCTATTTGGTCAGGAGGGTATGCCAATTGTAAACATGTATTCTTCCAACCTACAGCCTATAAATATAAAAGTCAAATATTAAAGGCTCTGTGGGAGAGAGATATCACAATGTGGTATCAGGGAAGGATTACAACAGCCCACTTTCAACGTTTAGACCCACCGAGAAAATGAAGAAGGAAATATGGGAATCAGGCAATGCTTTAAAAACACCAGACAGACAGGTGTTGAGTGTGCTTAGCTTAAAAAATAAAAACCAGCAGTATAAATCCCCCAAACACATCTTTACAAAATTCTTGAAGCCTTAGATGCTACAATTCATGGGTGCCCAGCTGGGCCCTGAAGGGCTGAGTATGAGCATGCAAATAAGGTAGAAACGGAAACCAATCAAGGAAGAGCTACCAAACCTGAGGGGTAGGGGGAGAACCCTGATCTGCTGAAAGTTACTAAAAGGTCTTTAATCTCTGCAGAAGTGATGAAACTTGCAAGAGGTTGTGGCTTTGTTAACTTGTTCCCACTACCTATGCAGGCTGGCGTGGCTTTCCTGCTAGGGGTAGAGTAAGGGGAGTTGAGGGTTCTGCTCTGCAAACAGCCATTAGTCACCCACTTTCTGTAGCTCTTTTGGACTCTGGACTTGAGCCTGCTGGCTGGCTGTCACAAAGCTAGGACTTGGGGGGCACCTACCCCAAACAGATACATATACAGGGATGTAGCTCAGTTGTAGGATGCTTGCCTAGTGTACCTGAGGTTGAACCCTAACACTCATCCAAGCCTGTAATCCTAGTCATAGAAAATGGAGGCAAGAGGATAAGAATTCCAAGGTCATCCTTGATGACTTAAAAAGCTCGAAGGATCCCCTCTGACTAAGATGCTCAATCTCCATTCAGAAAGGCAAAGAGGATGGACATCAAAAGAGAGAGAAAACAGGGAACAGGACAGTAGCCTACCACAGAGGGCCTCTGAAAGGCTCTACCCTGCAGGGTATCGAGGCAGATGCTGAGACTCATAGCTAAACTTTGGAAGAGTGCAGAGACTCTTATGAAAGAAGTAGGAGACTGTAAGATCTGGAGAAGACAGGAGCTCCA